TGTTTTCAGATACTTGGGAGTTGACATGTCGGCGGATGGATTTATGAAGGATGAGGTTAATCATAGAATTGATGAGGGAAAAAAGGTGAGTGGTGCGTTGAGGTTTTATGTGGAGTCAAAAAACGTTATCTATGGAGGAAAGAAGGGAAATGTATGAAAGTATATTTGTACCAACACTCTTATATGGATGTAAAGCTTGGGTGGTAAATGCAGCAGCGAGGAGACGGTTGGAGGCAGTGGAGATGTCCTGTCAAAGGGCAATGTGTGGTGAAATTTTATGCAGAAAATTCGGATGTGGGAAATTAGGAGAAGGTGTGGAGTTTATAAAAAGCTTTTAGTCAGGTTCAGAAGAGGGGTTGTTGAGGTGGTTTGGTCATTTAGAGAGAATGGATCAAATTTAGAATGACATGGAAAGCATAAATCTATAGGGGAAGGAAAGGGGCTAGGGGTCGTCCTCGAAAGGGTTGGAGAGAGGGAGAAAAGGAGGTTTTGTGGGTAAGGGGCTTGGACTTCCAGCAAGCGTGAGTGAGCGTGTTAGATAGGAGTGAATGGAGACAAATGGACTTGGGACCTGAGATCTGTTGTGAGTGTGAGCAGGGTAATATTTAGTGAAGGGATTCAGGAAACCGGTTATTTTCATATAGTCGGACTTGAGTCCTGGAAATGGGAAGTACAATGCCTGCACTTTAAAGGAGGGGTTTGGGATATTGGCAGTTTGGAGGGATATGTTGTGTATCTTTATATGTGTATGCTTCTAGACTGTTGTATTCTGAGCACCTCTGCAAAAACAGTGATAATGTGCGAGTGTGGTGAAAGTGTTGAATGATGATGAAAGTATTTTCTTTTTGGGGATTTTCTTTCTTTTTTGGGTCACCCTGCCTCGGTGGGAGACGGCCGACTTGTTAAAAAAAAAAAAAAAAAAAAATCTGATAAAATGTAGTTTATAGATGCTATATAGGGTACAGATCTATGGATGATACAGTACCATATAGCTTGCAGATACTACACAACAGTATAGGTCTATGAGTGCTATAGTGTTAACTTGCAGATACTACACAACAGTATAGGTCTATGAGTGCTATAGTGTTAACTTGCAGATACTACACAACAGTATAGGTCTATGAGTGCTATAGTGTTAACTTGCATATACTACACAACAGTATAGGCCTATGAGTGCTATAGTGTTAACCTGCAGATACTACACAACAGTATAGGCCTATGAGTGCTACAGTGTTAACTTGCAGATACTACACAACAGTATAGGCCTATGAGTGCTACAGTGTTAACTTGCAGATATACAAAACAGTATAGGTCTAGAGTGCTACAGTGTTAACTTGCAGATACTACACAACAGTATAGGCCTATAATTGCTATAGTGTTAACTTGCAGGTACTACACAACAGTATAGGCCTATAAGTGCTATAGTGTTAACTTGCAAATACTACACAACAGCATAGGCCTATGAGTGCTATAGTGTTAACTTGCAGATACTACACAACAGTATAGGCCTATGAGTGCTATAGTGTTAACTTGCAGATACTACACAACAGTATAAGCCTATAAGTGCTATAGTGTTAACTTGCAGATACTACACAACAATATAGGCCTATGAGTGCTATAGTATTAACTTGCAGATACTACACAACAGTATAGGCCTATGAGTGCTATAGTATTAACTTGCAGACACTGCACAACAGTATAGGCCTAAAGTGCTTTTTAAGGTGTTAAGTTGAGATATCCCACAACAGTTAGGCCTATGAGTGCTATAGTATTAACTTGCAGATACTACACAACAGTATAGGCCTATGAGAGCTATAGTGTTAACTTGCAGACACTACACAACAGTATAGGCCTATGAGTGCTATAGTGTTAACTTGCAGATACTACACAACAGTATAGGCCTATGAGTGCCATAGTATTGCAGATACTACACAACAGTATAGGCCTATGAGTGCTATAGTGTTAACTTGCAGATACTACACAACAGTATAGGCCTATGAGTGCTATAGTATTTAACTTGCAAATACTACACAACAGTATAGGCCTATGAGTGCTATAGTATTAACTTGCAGATACTACACAACAGTATAGGCCTATAAGTGCTATAGTGTTAACTTGCAGATACTACACAACAGTATAGGCCTATGAGTGCTATAGTATTAACTTGCAAATACTACACAACAGTATAGGCCTATGAGTGCTATAGTATTAACTTGCAAATACTACACAACAGTATAGGTCTATGAGTGCTACAGTGTTAACTTGCAGATACTACACAACAGTATAGGCCTATAATTGCTATAGTGTTAACTTGCAGGTACTACACAACAGTGTAGGCCTATAAGTGCTATAGTGTTAACTTGCAAATACTACACAACAGTATAGGCCTATGAGTGCTATAGTGTTAACTTGCAGATACTGCACAACAGTATAGGCCTATGAGTGCTATAGTGTTAACTTGCAGATACTACACAACAGTATAGGTCTATGAGTGCTATAGTGTTAACTTGCAGATACTACACAACAGTATAGGTCTATGAGTGCTATAGTGTTAACTTGCATATACTAGACAACAGTATAGGCCTACGAGTGCTATAGTGTTAACTTGCAGATACTACACAACAGTATAGGCCTATGAGTGCTATAGTGTTAACTTGCAGATACTACACAACAGTATAGGTCTATGAGTGCTACAGTGTTCACTTGCAGATACTACACAACAGTATAGGCCTATAATTGCTATAGTGTTAACTTGCAGGTACTACACAACAGTATAGGCCTATAAGTGCTATAGTGTTAACTTGCAAATACTACACAACAGTATAGGCCTATGAGTGCTATAGTGTTAACTTGCAGATACTACACAACAGTATAGGCCTATGAGTGCTATAGTGTTAACTTGCAGATACTACACAACAGTATAAGCCTATAAGTGCTGTAGTGTTAACTTGCAGATACTACACAACAATATAGGCCTATGAGTGCTATAGTATTAACTTGCAGATACTACACAACAGTATAGGCCTATGAGTGCTATAGTATTAACTTGCAGACACTGCACAACAGTATAGGCCTATAAGTGCTATAGTGTTAAGTTGCAGATACTACACAACAGTATAGGCCTATGAGTGCTATAGTATTAACTTGCAAAATACTCAAAACAGTTTAGGCCTAGGGAGTGCTATAGTGTTAACTTGCAGACACTACACAACAGTATAGGCCTATGAGTGCTATAGTGTTAACTTGCAGATACTACACAACAGTATAGGCCTATGAGTGCCATAGTATTAACTTGCAGATACTACACAACAGTATAGGCCTATGAGTGCTATAGTATTAACTTGCAGATACTACACAACAGTATAGGCCTATGAGTGCTATAGTGTTAACTTGCAGATACTACACAACAGTATAGGCCTATAAGTGCTATACTGTTAACTTGCAGATATAGTATTAACATGCAGATACTACACAACAGTATAGGCCTATGAGTGCTATAGTATTAACTTGCAGACACTGCACAACAGTATAGGCCTGTAAGTGCTATAGTGTTAACTTGCAGATACTACACAACAGTATAGGCCTATGAGTGCTATAGTATTAACTTGCAGATACTACACAACAGTATAGGCCTATGAGTGCTATAGTATTAACTTGCAGACACTGCACAACAGTATAGGCCTATGAGTGCTATAGTGTTAACTTGCAGATACTACACAACAGTATAGGTCTATGAGTGCTATAGTGTTAACTTGCAGATACTACACAACAGTATAGGTCTATGAGTGCTATAGTGTTAACTTGCATATACTACACAACAGTATAGGCCTGAGTGCTATAGTGTTAACTTGCAGATACTACACAACAGTATAGTGCTATGATGCTATAGTGTTAACTTGCAGAATACTACACAACAGTATAGGTCTATGAGTGCTACAGTGTTAACTTGCAGATACTACACAACAGTATAGGCCTATAATTGCTATAGTGTTAACTTGCGGGGTACTACACAACAGAAATAGGCCTAGAAGTGCTATAGTGTTAACTTGAAAATTTACTACACAACAGTATAGGCCTATGAGTGCTATAGTATTAACTTGCAGATACTACACAACAGTATAGGCCTACAAGTGCTACAGTGTTAACTTGCAGGTACTACACAACAGTATAGGCCTACAAGTGCTATAGTGTTAACTTGCAGACACTACACAACAGTATAGGCCTATGAGTGCTATAGTATTAGCTTGCAGGTACTACAACAACAGTATGGCCAAACAAGTGCATAGTGTTAACTTGCAGACACTACACAACGTATAGGCCTTGAGTGCTATAGTATTAACTTGCAGATTACTACACAACAGTATAGGCCTACAAGTGCTTAGTGTTAACTTGCAGACACTACACAACAGTATTGGCCAAATGAGTGCTATAGTATTAACTTGCAGATACTACACAACAGTATAGGCCTACAAGTGCTATAGTGTTAACTTGCAGACACTACACAACAGTATAGGCCTATGAGTGCTATAGTATTAACTTGCAGATACTACACAACAGTATAGGCCTACAAGTGCTACAGTGTTAACTTGCAGACACTACACAACAGTATAGGCCTATGAGTGCTATAGTATTAACTTGCAGATACTACACAACAGTATAGGCCTACAAGTGCTACAGTGTTAACTTGCAGACAATACACAACAGGTCTTTATATAATACTGTTAATGTAACAATAAAGAACTGTTAATATAACAATGAAGAACTGTTAATGTACCAATAAAGAACTGTTAATGTAACAATAAAGAACTGTTAATGTAACAATAAAGAACTGTTAATGTAACAATAAAGAACTGTTAATGTAACAATAAAAAACTGTTAATGTAACAATAAAGAACTGTTAATGTAACAATAAAGAACTGTTAATGTAACAATAAAGAACTAGAAAGCAGTGCAGGAGCAGGTAATTTTTTTATTTAATTTCTATTATATATTTGAGTTACCTTCCAGCTTTGTTGATTCCAACAACACCAATAATATTCATGTTGATAAGTTTCCTAAAGCGAGCCTCAGCAACCAGTAATGCATTCCCTGGGAAGTTGTTCGACAGGTCAAGCTCAAGTTCACCTCTCTTTTCTTCTGCAACCATCATCTCCAGTAGTGACAATGGTCTTCTAGAAAGCTTGCTACCATCACTTTCTTCCCAATCCTTATCATTATTCACATGTTTTACAGGTGTTAAGGATGATCTGCTGTCATCAAGAAATACGCTCTCAGTAGATGAAATGATCGGGTTTATGCTGTCTTCCTGAATGCTCGACATGTGCTGCCTCTTTGCTGATGGGCTTCCCGAGCAATCATACAAAGTGCTTCTCTTTTTTCCAAACATTTTTACATCTTTTGATGAATCAGACAATGTCTTTAGGGATTTTGCTTTAGATCGTTTCCGAGGCTTGGAAGACACAGGCGAGACATCTAATTCATCCACGTTACTTGATGTAGTTAAGTCCACAAGTGGCACTACTTTATGGGCCACTTTAACCTTGGTCGCATTCAATTCTCCATTATCTGAGGTACTTTCCAAGGCACTATGTAAATTTGTAAAAGAGTCATTCATAAAAGATTCAAAACTTCCACTAGCTGGAAGCATAGGTGAATTAACTTTTTCCTTTGGATATCTGAGAGATTTAACTACAGTTTCCACTACTTGTTCTGGGGTAATTTCTCTTGCAGCAAGCCCACTAAGTGTCATATATTTAGTTTCCTCTGTCATTCCTTGTTTTGAATACCCACAAGTCCGAGCACAGTGAGTCTTCACTGAGTGGTACCAATTTTTCAGTTTCCACCTGTAATTGCGTTTAGCTTCAGTGTTATTAACAACAACATTAACAACAGTGCAACCAGATTTTGATGAGATATCCAGATCCTCTGATTTACAGTCATGAGATGGTAATAGCAAATCACTATTTGTTTTCTCTCTTAAAGCCTCCTCAAATGTGTCAACTGAATTAGGTGTTTTGGAAGCAGAGTTACTGCTGATATCACTCTCAATTTTTTCTTTCTGATCCTCTTTATGAGTATTAATAATGCTAGCATCCTTCAGACACTTACAGTCATAACAAGAGTGAATCATACACCAAATACTGATGCCCTTAATATTATACCAAGGAACCTTCAGTGTAAAACTTTTAATATATCTGTGTGCTTCAGCCAATGGAATACTTGGAAATCCTGTAAGAAACAATACAAATAAACATTATATCATTCAACAGGAAACAAATACTGTACAGTAGATCCCCAGCTTACAATCATCTGCACTTAAGTTCAAAGGATTTCAAAACAAATTGATTTACTTCATCATATTTGCAGATACAATCACTAAAAATACTAAAAAACAAATTGTTAATAATATTTTGCTATTTTTAACCAAAAGCATTAATACATTACATATATTCATTTTAAGCATGGAGAGCTGATGTTTGTTTGGTAGAAATTAGTCAAATTTTAAGTGTATATTTAAAAATTACAACTTTGGCAAGACTGAATTATAAACAATTTATGCAGGTTAGGCACCAGGCTACCACCGTAAAGTGGAAATTGCCGTAAAGCAGAACGCCATTTTTTCCACTAATAAATGCATATATATGCCAGATAAATTTACAAACATATATTAAGTTAGCAAGAGAACTAGGCATTAAAAACAATAAAAACTAAAAGACATACACAGTATATTCATTACTTACCTTTAAATATTTGTGGTCTTAATGTAGCTTGAGAGGTGAGTAGTATTTATTGTTGAGAGTCAGGTGTGGTAGGTATGGTAGCCAAAGTGGCTACCACACCTATATGTAATATACAACAATTAAACCACCCCAGAGCAATACAATGCTATACAGTACACTCATTACTTATCTTAAAATATTTGTAGTCTTAATGTAGAAAGGCAGGTATAGTAGCTTGACACCTACCGCTCCTACACCAAATATAATACAGCCTCTCCTCACTTACCAATGTACTCGTTTACTGATGACTCGGGCCTACAAAAGGCTCTCTGATAAGTATGCTTTTCTTTCTTTCAACACATCGGCCGCATCCCAATGAGGTGGGGTGGCCCAAAAGGAAAAACCAAAGTTTCTCCTTTTACATTTAGTAATATATACAGGAGAAGGGGTTACCAGCCTCTTGCTCCGATAAGTATGCATACCTAAATAATGTACGGCATCTCCTCACTTAGCGATGTACCACTTGTTTACCAACGACTCTCACTTACGATGGTTCTTTGACCAATATACATACCAAACTAATGTATATTAGAGCTGATTTCGTCTATTCTGTTTATTACAATACAGAGTGGAACCTCTGCTTACGAACACCCCACCATGCGAATTTTTCAGGATACGAACTGTCGTGTGGTCGATTTTCTGATTCCTGGATACGAACAAAATTTCAGGATACGAACTTCCCCCTCAAGGGAGGTTCCTTGAATAAATAAATACATAAAATATTTATTTCTTTGCAAAGGCTACAATGTGTGTTTACATATCATGTTACAATGTGTTTACATATAATATGATTGGAGCAAAGAAGGCCACTATCATGCTGAGGCATTTCGGGGAGACTTAACCTAATACTAATGAACTACTTAAGTCTAGGCAGGTGAAAAGTGTATTAGTTGTGGTTACCAATGTTTTGCTGATGGTGGCACCAACTACTGATAGCCCTTTGAAGTTTCTCATTATTATTATTATTATTATTAATTATTGTATTATTATTATTATTATTATTACATTGTATTATTATTATTATTATTATTATTATTACATTGTATTTTTTTTATTTTTTATTATCACACTGGCCGATTCCCACCAAGGCAGGGTGGCCCGAAAAAGAAAAACCTTCACCATCATTCACTCCATCACTGTCTTGCCAGAAGGGTGCTTTACACTACAGTTTTTAAACTGCAACATTAACACCCCTCCTTCAGAGTGCAGGCACTGTGCTTCCCATCTCCAGGACTCAAGTCCGGCCTGCCGGTTTCCCTGAACCCCTTCATATATGTTACTTTGCTCACACTCCAACAGCACATCAAGTATTAAAAACCATTCGTCTCCATTCACTCCTATCAAACACGCTCACGCACGCCTGCCGGAAGTCCAAGCCCCTCGCACACAAAACCTCCTTTACCCCCTCCCTCCAACCTTTCCTAGGCCGACCCCTACCCCGCCTTCCTTCCACTACAGACTGATACACTCTTGAAGTCATTCTGTTTCACTCCATTCTCTCTACATGTCCGAACCACCTCAACAACCCTTCCTCAGCCCTCTGGACAACAGTTTTGGTAATCCCGCACCTCCTCCTAACTTCCAAACTACGAATTCACTGCATTATATTCACACCACACATTGCCCTCAGACATGACATCTCCACTGCCTCCAGCCTTCTCCTCGCTGCAACATTCATCACCCATGCTTCACACCCATATAAAAGCGTTGGTAAAACTATACTCTCATACATTCCCCTCTTTGCCTCCAAGGACAAAGTTCTTTGTCTCCACAGACTCCTAAGTGCACCACTCACCCTTTTCCCCTCATCAATTCTATGATTCACCTCATCCTTCATAGACCCATCTGCTGACACCTCCACTCCCAAATATCTGAATACTTTCACCTCCTCCATACTCTCTCCCTCCAATCTGATATCCAATCTTTCATCACTAATATTTTTGTTATCCTCATAACCTTACTCTTTCCTGTATTCACTTTTAACTTTCTTCTTTTGCACACCCTACCAAATTCATCCACCAATCTCTGCAACTTCTCTTCAGAATCTCCCAAGAGCACAGTGTCATCAGCAAAGAGCAACTGTGACAACTCCCACTTTATGTATGATTCTTTATCTTTTAACTCCACGCCTCTTGTCAAGACCCTCGCATTTACTTCTCTTACAACCCCATCTATAAATACATTAAACAACCACGGTGACATCACACATCCTTGTCTAAGGCCTACTTTTACTGGGAAATAATTTCCCTCTTTCCTACATACTCTAACTTGAGCCTCACTATCCTCGTAAAAACTCTTCACTGCTTTCAGTAACCTACCTCCTACACCATACACCTGCAACATCTGCCACATTGCCCCCCTATCCACCCTGTCATATGCCTTTTCCAAATCCATAAATGCCACAAAGACCTCTTTAGCCTTATCTAAATACTGTTCACTTATATGTTTCACTGTAAACACCTGGTCCACACACCCCTACCTTTCCTAAAGCCTCCTTGTTCATCTGCTATCCTATTCTCCGTCTTACTCTTAATTCTTTCATTAATAACTGTACCATACACTTTACCAGGTATACTCAACAGACTTATCCCCCTATAATTTTTGCACTCTCTTTTGTCCCTTTGCCTTTATACAAAGGAACTATGCATGCTCTCTGCCAATCCCTAGGTACCTTACCCTCTTCCATACATTTATTAAATAACTGCACCAACCACTCCAAAACTATATCCCCACCTGCTTTTAACATTTCTATCTTTATCCCATCAATCCTGGCTGCCTTACCCCCTTTCATTTTGCCTACTGCCTCACGAACATTCCCCACACTCACAACTGGCTCTTCCTCACTCCTACAAGATGTTATTCCTCCATGCCCTATACACGAAATCACAGCAACCCTATCTTCAACAACATTTAACAATTCCTCAAAATATTCCCTCCATCTTCCCAATACCTCTAACTCTCCATTTAATAACTCTCCTCTCCTATTTTTAACTGACAAATCCATTTGTTCTCTAGGCTTTCTTAACTTGTTAATCTCACTCCAAAACTTTTTCTTATTTTCAACAAAATTTGTTGATAACATCTCACCCACTCTCTCATTTGCTCTCTTTTTACATTGCTTCACCACTCTCTTAACCTCTCTCTTTTTCTCCATATACTCTTCCCTCCTTGCATCACTTCTACTTTGTAAAAACTTCTCATATGCTAACTTTTTCTCCCTTACTACTCTCTTTACATCATCATTCCACCAATCGCTCCTCTTCCCTCCCGCACCCACTTTCCTGTAACCACAAACTTCTGCTGAACACTAACACTACATTTTTAAACCTACCCTATACCTCTTCGACTCCATTTCCTATGCTCTCATTAGCCCATCTATCCTCCAATAGCTGTTTATATCTTTCCCTAACTGCCTCCTCTTTTAGTTTATAAACCTTCACCTCTCTCTTCCCTGATGCTTCTGTTCTCCTTGCATCCCATCTACCTTTTACTCTCAGTGTAGCTACAACTAGAAAGTGATCTGATATATCTGTGGCCCCTCTATAAACATGTACATCCTGAAGTCTACTCAACAGTCTTTTATCTACCAATACATAATCCAACAAACTACTGTCATTTCGCCCTACATCATATCTTGTATACTTATTTATCCTCTTTTTCTTAAAATATGTATTACCTATAACTAAACCCCTTTCTATACAAAGTTCAATCAAAGGGCTCCCATTATCATTTACACCTGGCACCCCAAACTTACCTACCACACCCTCTCTAAAAGTTTCTCCTACTTTAGCATTCAGATCCCCTACCACAATTACTCTTTCACTTGGTTCAAAGGCTCCTATACATTCACTTAACATCTCCCAAAATCTCTCTCTCTCCTCTGCATTCCTCTCTTCTCCAGGTGCATACACGCTTATTATGACCCACTTCTCGCATCCAACCTTTACTTTAATCCACATAATTCTTGCATTTACACATTCATATTCTCTTTTCTCCTTCCATAACTGATCATTCAACATTACTGCTACCCCTTCCTTTGCTCTAACTCTCTCAGATACTCCAGATTTAATCCCATTTATTTCGCCCCACCGAAACTCCCCTATCCCCTTCAGCTTTGTTTCGCTTAGGGCCAGGACATCCAACTTCTCTTCATTCATAGCATCAGCAATCATCTGTTTCTTGTCATCTGCACTACATCCACGCACATTCAAGCATCCCAGTTTTATAAAGTTTTTCTTCTTCTCTTTTTTAGTAAATGTCTACAGGAGAAGGGGTTACTAGCCCATTGCTCCCGGCATTTTAGTCGCCTCATACGACACGCAAGGCTTACGGAGGAAAGATTCTTTTCCACTTCCCCATGGACAATAGAAGAAATAAAGAAGAACAAGAGCTATGTAGAAAAAGGAGAAAAACCTAGATGTATGTATATATATATGCATGTGCGTGTCT